ACGTGCGACCGTGAGCCCCGCTGGAAAATACCGTGCTCCAATGCTGAACCGCGACGCCGCACGTTCAAATGGCCGAACGTTCTGGAAGCGCGGGAATGTTATCGAGCGAGCCGCGCTGGCAGTATTTCATCATTCTGCGTCTGCTCCTGTCGTCGTCCCAAGCGGTGCCTCGGATCCATCGGTCGTCTACTTGTCAACTTCAGCCGGTGCAAGCAACAGATGTCATCAGTTGGAGTCAACAACACCGACAGAGCGAACCAGCGGTACTTCTTTCTGCTTATGCTTTGACTTACGTTGCTGACCATTCCTTCATTGCCCTTTTTTTCTCTTTTCTCATTGCACCACTTTTTCTATGTTTCCTTTGTGGTATACAATAGTATTTATAATGTGTTTATTCTCATAAAGTACATAACCATAATAGTGTAGTTTTTGCCAATGCGTTTTAACGCGGAATATTTATGTCTTCAGTTCTTGCCTTATATTGCCCTTATCCTAAGCGGAGCCGGGAGGGGATTAGGGCCTCGTAGTTGACCCTGTGGCAGGCAATGGGGCATTCCGGTGCGACTAACCCCTCCAGAGGGAGTGTGGGCCACTACAATACCCACATTCTGGCGTGACCTTGGGTCCCCCCGCCGATGCACTTAAGCTCCAGGGACCGGGCTCGCGACACATACTTATTGGGCACCTTTTGTACCGCGGATATCTTTTCGCCGGTGAACAGGAATCCAGTACGACAATTTTTTGTACGCGGCTTGACAGCTTTTGTGAGCCATCCTTTCTCTTCTCTTTAGCCTGCTCACTGGGGAAATCACTTTCTGATCGTATAAAGGCCTTGTTGTGCAGATGATGCTTCACGATTTCGCGCAGAAAACTTCATGTATATCCATTCATTTAGTCATTTTGGGCTCAGAATGAATTTCGCTGCTACGCAGACCTTCGCCCTGCTTCATTGAAACTCCCACTAATTATAACCGCAGGCCTCTTAGGTTCACCACGCCTATCTGTAATTGTTCCCAACTCTCGAGGGCGTATTACGGTTGAATGTACCACTTGCCTTGTTACGCTGAGTCATCTGTAGATGCACCGTGCCAAAAGTGCTTGTAAATGCAAAGCGACGTTTGATTCACGGAGTCGTGACGCTAACATCAATTTCAAAATCTACCAAAAGTTTAGTATCATTAGGAAGGTAATAATGTAAACTACCCTGTGAAATAGAAGAAAGCGAACGAATTGCTATGACCTCAGAAAAAAATCGATATGAGCGGCAGCGCACGCTGTAATCATAATTTTGGCCCACCCTGTAGTTCAATACTTATTTAGATAAAGGTTTATTCTTTGATAATATAACTGTCACTTGCTCGCACAGTGAAGTAGTATGGTTCGCGGGGGGTGCTCCAGAAGGACGCAGCAGTTAGGCATGGCTGGGCAACGTCAGGCAGGAAGGGGACGTCCGTACCTGTCCCCCGTCGCGACGGTACTCACAAGGGAAGTATCCTAAATCGAAGTGGCCATTTGATATGAAACCTACACTGCTGGACGTATTTTTGATGCTGATTTCGAATCTAAATTCAAAATCTGCCAATTCAGTTCTCTGAACAAGGTTTTAGAGGTGGTCTACGGAGAGCGCTCAACGCGGACAAGCACAAAAGACATGGTCGTCAGGATACCTGCAGGGGCGGCTTGGAGTAGAGGTAAGCGTGACATTACAGGCATCAGACAAGGGTCGGGTTTGTATACGACGGCGTTTTTGCACTTTGCAGGACTTTTTCCTCTAGGCTGTAAATATCTCATATTTGTTTACTACACCTTCAACGACTTTTTAGTTGCTGAAGGTGAGCCAGTTCCTACTTAGACCACCTGATAGCTCTTTCCACCTGGATCTGTTTGGTCATGTCGCTCCAATAAATGTTCTGGGAAGGAGAACCTGTACCTGCTCTTTGGACTCCTCCACACTACCAAACATCAACGACGAGATGTACTTGCTATTTCCTCTTCATCATCGGGTTCCCACCCTAGATCGGCCTCCTCGTCCTCAATCACACGGTCTTCTTCGCACTCAATATCGAGGTCTTCTTAAGCGGCATCTTGCAAGATGGAGGAAAATCTGCCTATCAACTTTTGCCGCTTGCTTATACGGGGGCGCGTTTGACATCACAGGGACCGAAGTTCTTCGACAGGTGCGACACTACCAACTATGGCCAGAACATACTCCGTTCCTTGATGTTACATGCATCCATACATACCATACTTTGCCGCGCTTGCCACATGAGAACCCTTACCTTTTTTTGAAAACTGCCCACAACACCCAACTTTTTCAAAAAGTGATCGATTTCATTGCGGAGAGAAAGACAGTTTGGGCAGGAACTGATTCACCTCGACATTCAAAGAATCGCCGAAGGGGGTAAAAATAACATAAAAAGATTTAAAAATGTATACAGCTAGGAGGAAAAAGTCCTGCAAAGGGCGAAAACACCGTCGCCCACTAAACCCGATCCTTGGTCCCATGCCTATGAAGCGTCACGCTCACCTCTACTACAAGCCGCCACTGCGGGTGTTCCGGCGACCATGTCTTTGTGCTTGTCCTTGTTTAACGCTCTCCGGAGACCACCCCCATAACTTTATTCAGAGAATCGTTTGGCAGATTTTGAACGCAGATTCGAAATCGGCATCAAAAAATACGTCCAGCAGTGTAGGTCTCATATTAAATGGCCACTTCGACATGGGATCCTTCCCTTGTCAGGAAACGAAACATATAGACTCATCGACTACTTAAGGATTATGTCATGGATAATAGTTCAGTAGACTGCCCGCGACCAGGTCCCAGTACGAATAAACCTTGATAGCGTGAAAAATAGGGTACACAACTACTAAAAACATGAAAACGTCGTTTCGTAAGAATCGAGCCCTAAATCAACGCGCAAGAATAGGCTTGAGAATGAGTTCACATTAATTTTTGAGCTGGACAGCAGTCATCAGATTCTTTGCTATTTTTCATCTGCAAAGCAAGTGTGGAGCAGCCGACATTGATAAGCAACACAGGAAAGTCACCGAACACCAACTAGGAAAAATCAAGCCTACTCTACAATCCATGTGAGATCAAACCGATTTCAGCAGCCAGCGCCAATATTTACTATACTAACACCAACAGACTTATTGAATGCTTTTATTATGATGACCACCGCTCCAGCACGCCCCTGCACAAAGCTTAGAGAAAGTTGTGCGGTTGTTGAGCTGCGGCTTTCTTCAGTTGAATGAGAAACTTATTCATCAAATCTTATTAGTCATCTAGATTTCACCACTACAGCTGTTCAATTTGGATTACAAGCCACTCACCAGGGAAGGGTTTCAACTTCCCATGGAACTTGGAACAGAGACTTAATAATAACGATAGGGCTTGGAAAGTTATTAACAAATATGGAAATTGATACTGCAAAATGAGTCTACCAAAAAAGTTGTGAGAGTTCAAAGTTTGCGTGTCTAAAGCATGCGCGAGAGATAGTGCCAGTTAATAAGCGCACTTTCCCGCAATGGCCATAAGGGTAACCGTGGCGTAGTAGCAGTGCTCTCTCTCTCCAGGTGAGCGATGATGGTTTGCTTCCCGTTGTCGTTTTCGCTTTTGCAAAACGTGCTGGAAAACGGGAGAATGAAAGCACCCAAACCCTTTTTTCTTACTAATTTGAGTTAGCGCTTTGTTTCGGCTATCAATCGCGATCACCTATCTATCACCTATCATCGCACTGATTTAAAATTCCTCCGTCATTTTTGTAACGCTTTCATTTTCAACACCGAAGCACACATACCCACACCGTCGATGGAGCAATCAAAAATGGGTAGAGAAAACGTTTTCGGTCTCGAATCGATTGTGTATTTATTCACGATTGTAGAGACGGCATTTACATATTCACTCATTTCTTGGATTGTCTCATCAATATTACGCTTTTCACGCACATCTGTTTTAAGTGAATTAGATTCCCCCTCCACCTCGAGAAATTTTAAACACGTGAGTTGATAGGTGATAGGTAGGCGATCGCAAATGATGGCCGAATCAAAGCGCCCACTCAAATTAGTAAAAAAACGGTTTAGGAGCCTTCACTCGGATGAAAGCACGTTTTGCAAAAGCGAAAACGACAATGGGGAGCGAACCCTCATCACTCACCTGGAGATGGAAAGCACTGCCACTACGTCCCGTTGACCCTTGTGGTCGTTGCTGGCAACTGCGCTTATCAACTGACACTATCTCTCCATGCTTTAAGTACGCAAACTTTGAACGGTCACAAATTTTGGTAGACTCATTTTGCAGTTTTAATTTCCACATTTGTAAATAACTTTCCAAGCCCTATCGATATGCAGGGTGGGCCAGAATTATGATTACACAGACACCACATCCCCGAAAACGAATAGAAAGCTAAAAAAGCAAACCAATTTCACAAAAGTGCCTATCACTAATCTCTTATCAAAATAGTACATTGAGACTGGGATCTGTTGCTTCCTGCTTTCACCCAACCCCAGAGACGATGATGGACAACATTAGAGGTGGCACGCAACTAAAGTCATCGAGTTGATCCCAACTTTTTGCAAGGTATTTTCGAGGTTATTTCATCTCATGTTTGGGCTAACGGATCCTTTCATCTCAAAGGCTGACCACACTGAGACATCTATGGGATTTAGGTCAGGGCTCCAGAGTGGTCACTGATCGAAGGGTATGAAGTCAGGGAACCCCTTTTACGAAATTTCTAGATAATTTCTGGTTTGCATTCAGGAGCACCATCTTGAGAATATGTCCGGCTTGAATCGCCAAAGTGTCGTATTGCGCACGAAGAGATCGAACAGGTCTCCAAACCAACTTTCACTCCTTATTTTACAAAAATAAACGGTGCTTTTGCCTCGGCTGTGACGCTCGCAAAGTATATCGCAGAAAGTGAGCAGGCCTAGCGCTGCATCACTTCCATTTTTTTCAGCTTTATAAAAATTTGTAGCCCTGCTTATTGGGCACCTTTCTCACTGCGGATATCTTTCCGCCGGTGAACAGGAATCCCGTACGACAATTTTTTGTATGCGGCGGGGCAGCTTTGGTGAGCCAACACTTCTCTTCCTTTTTGTCTGCTCACTGGGAAAATCACTTCCTGATCGTATGAAGGCCTTGTCGTGCAGATGATGCTTCACGATTTCGCGCAGAAAACTTCATGTATATCCATTCATTTAGTCATTTTGGGCTCAGAATGAATTTCGCTGCTACGCAGACCTTCGCCCTGCTTCATTGAAACTCCCACTAAATATAATCGCAGGCCTCTTAGGATTACCATTCCTATCTGTAATTGTTCCCAACTCCCGAAGGCGTTTTATGGTTGAATGTACCCCCTGCCTTGTTACGCTGAGTCGTCTGTAGATGCACCAAGCCAAAAGTGCTTGTAAATGCAAAGTGACGATTTATTCACGGGGTAATTACGCTTACATTGTTTTCAAAATCTACCAAAAGTTTAGTATCATCAGGAAGGTAATAATGCAATCTACCTTGTGAAATAGAAGAAAGCGAACGAATTGCTATGACCTCAGAAAAAATTCGTTATGAGCGTCAGCGCGCGCTGTAGTCATAATTTTGACCCACCCTGTACATAGGTGTCTATTCGAAGTTCCATGGGAAGTTGGAGCCCTTCCCTGGTCAGTCACAATCAGTGACCATTCATCATTCTGCCTAAAAATTCGACGAAGTACATACTTGTAAGCTTCAGCAAAAATGTCGGTTCGAGGCTCTTCGTCTTGTGCAGCAGAATCAGCGGCAGCAATAATAGACGATAAAGTTTTTTCAGGTAAAAACGAACACCATTGATCATAACAACATTGAGAGGACTAAAAACAGTATAGCTCCAAGTGTCACAAGTAAAGACAGGAAAATTCGATGCTTACGGAAGGAGTATCACTACTGGGTGCAAGAAGGCAAACGATAGATCTGGCCAATTCTCGTCTACATTTGCCGTCATCATCGGAAGTCTCATATTCCTCAACCTATAATACACAGGGCTACACCGAATGATTCAAGTAGTTCGCAAAGAAATCTCATAAATGGAACCTTGTTCAAAAAGAGGCAGGCCTGAAAATACTGGTGGTTAGTCGATTCGCAGAACTCTCGAAACAACAGTTTTCCTATTGGCTGACGTTCAACAATATATGGATAACTATAACAAGCACGAATTAAAAGACAATAGAAAAGACTAACTAGCAGAGGGAAGTTCCCATGGAACTTTTAATAGTGGCCTAGGTATCTATACAGAATATGAAGTGCTCTTTACAAATTTAGGGATTAAAGCTGCCAAATGAGACTGGGAAAGTTGTGAGCGCTCGACGTTTGCTTGATCAAACCATAAAGAGATAGTGTCAACTGAAATGCGTAAGTGGCCCGCAACGGCTACAAGGGTTGCCGTGGCGTAGTGGTAGTGCTCTCCCTCTTCAAGGGACGGAGAAGGTTTCTCCCTGGCGCCGTGTCAGCTTTTGCATTATGTGCTTTCTTTCGAATAAAAGCTCTAGAAACCGTTTTTTATTACGAAGTCAAGTTAGCGCTTTGTTTTGGCTACTATTTGTGATCACCGCACTTATTTAGAAAACGTCTCCACCTCATTTCTGTGTGGCTCTTTTACTTTCAACATTGAAACACACACATCAAAGCGAAACCGTCTTGAAAGCGAGAAATCTCGGCATCGATGGAACAACCCAGAAAATGTGTTTATACTACTATTTGCTCTCAAATCGATTGCGTGTTTTGTACACGGTTGGAGAGAGATAGCAGTACAAGGCGCGAATTTTCGAACAAAATATCTGCTTCATGGCGGAGGTGGTGTAGCGGCAAGTGGCGCACTATATCACACGCACGGTCAGGGGTTCGAATCTCGGATCGATGCCCGCCTAGGCCAACCAAGCCTTCCATCCCTCCGGGGTCGGTAAATTGGTACCAGACTCGTCTGGGAGGATAAAAGCATTGAATTGTACTTCGGCTGGCCACCGCAAGTCATTGTATAGCCACATAGGCACTCATTACGCCACTACGATTCTGAATGGAAGTCGAGTGCGGGGCGCAATCCCTCAGACGGGATTGATTAACGCCAAAAGCTTTATCCTTTTATATCTGCTTCACACATTTATAGAGTGTTCAATCATTAATGCAGTTTTCATGCGTAACTGTTTTAAGGTGATTCTTCCCTAGAAAGTCCTATGGTTGAGCTGGAAAATGAGAAAGACTCATAGAATTCACGTGAAGAACCAATCTGCCTTATATAAGCACAACGAGCGTCAGTGAAAGGCAAGATGAGGTAGGAATACCAGAAATGTTATATCTTCAGTACATATCAGAGCGGGGAGCAAACCCACATCACTCGAAACAGATACGTGTAAAAAACTCGATACTGATGAAACATACGTGAGCGAAGCAGATATGTTGTTCACAAAAATGAGCCTTATACATGTTGTCTTTCTACAGGGTGGGCCAAAATTATGATTACAAGACATCGCATCCCCGAAAACGAACAGAAAGCTTAGGAAGCAAACCAATTTCATTGAAGTGTCTATCAGTAATCTCTTATCAAAACAGTACATTGAGACTGGGATCTGTTGCTTCCTGCTTTCACCCAACCCCAGAAACGATGATGGACAACATTAGAGGTGGCACGCAACTAAAGTCATCGAGTTGATCCCAACTTTTTGCAAGGTATTTTCGAGATTATTTCATCTCATGTTTGGGCTAATGGATCCTTTCATCTCAAAGGCTGACCACACTGAGACATCTATGGGATTTAGGTCAGGGCTCCAGAGTGGTCACTGATCGAAGGGTATGAAGTCAGGGAACCCCTTTTACGAAATTTCTAGATAATTTCTGGTCTGCATTCAGGAGCACCATCTTGACAATATGTCCGGTTCACATAACCAAAGTGTCCTATTGCGCACGAAGAGATCGAACAGGCCTCCAAACCAACTTTCACTCCATAATTTACAAAAATAATTGGTGCTTTTGCCTCGGCGGTGACGCTCGCAAAGGATATCGCAGAAAGTGAGGAAGTCTAGCGCTGCATCACTTCCATTTTTTTCAGCTTTATAAAAATTTGTAGCCCTGCTTATTGGGCACCTTTCTCACTGCGGATATCTTTCCGCCGGTGAACAGGAATCCCGTACGACAATTTTTTGTATGCGGCGGGGCAGCTTTGTGAGCCAACACTTCTCTTCTCTTTAACCTGCTCTCTGGGGGAATCACTTTCTGATCGTATAACGGTCTCGTTGTGCAGGGGATGCTTCACGATTTCACGCAGAAAATTTCGTGACGTATCCATTCATTTATCCTTTTTGGACTCAGAATGAATTTTGCTCCTACGTAGACCTTTGCCCTGCTTCCTTAACACTTCCACTAAATATAATCGCAGGCCTCTTAGGATTACCATTCCTATCTGTAATTGTTCCCAACTGCCGAAGGCGTTTTATGGTTGAATGTACCCCCTGCCTTGTTACGCTGAGTCGTCTGTAGATGCACCAAGCCAAAAGTGCTTGTAAATGCAAAGCGACGTTTGATTCATGGAGTCGTGACGCTAACATCAATTTCAAAATCTACCAAAAGTTAAGTATCATCAGGAAGGTAGTAATGTAATCTACCTTGTGAAATAGAAGAATGCGAAGGAATTGCTTTGACCCCAGAAAAAATTCGTTATGAGCGTCAGCGCGCGCTGTAATCATAATTTTGGCCCACCCTGTAGAACCGTGGACATAACAAGCGTTTTAGGGCCAAATCAACACAAACACGTTTCCTCTACGCATTTTAATGTTTCATCGATGTTGAGCTTTTCTCATGTATCTGTTTTCCAAGACCATTCCACTTGGGTGTGCGTGTTTCAATATTGAAAATAAAAGAGTAACAGAAATAACAATGTAAAGAATTTTTTGAAACACGTGCGGTGAACGCAAAAAATAGCCGAGACAAGGCGCTAATTTGAATCAGTTACGAAAAATGGGTTTCAAGAGCTTTTATGCGAAAGAAAGCATGTTTTGTAAAAAATGTGGACGGCGGGGAGGAAACGTTGGCCTGAAGAAGAAAAGCACTGCAACCATGCCACGGCGACCTTTGCTGCCATTGCGGGCAACTGCACATTTCAATTGGCACTAACTCTCCATGCTTTCAACTTCTGCAGACTCGTTTGGCAGCTTTAAACTGTAAATTTGTAAACAGCACTTAATACTCTTTCTACTATATACCTAGGTCGCTACTAGCAAAACTTCAATACTTCTGAGGAAGCGGAGACGTCTATTCATCAAATCTCAGAGCGGCTGACTGTAAATGTGAGAGAGCGAGTCGGGTTTCTATGAACCCAACGAAATCGACTGGATTGTTCCACCACTGCGAGTTAGCACACAATATCAGAAGCTAACAAAGAAGAATGAATGTTATGGATGGCTTAGATTGGGTTTATTTTTTTTTGGGTTCTATCGCAACTCATATAGTGTGAAGTAGGTGAAGTTGTTTTATCGATCAGCTTTGGACCAAGAAAGCAGCTCAGGCAGATTGGTAGCAGGATTTTGGCAACACTCATGAATATGAGTTACTGTAGCGCTCGAAATCTCCGGCCAAATGCTAATTTAGTTGTACTTTTTAGTCGTAACCCCTTTCCTACTTGAAGTAATCATGTGAAATTTCAATATGTGTAGCATAGGTGCATTGTGAACATTTACTCCTGCCGACCTGCAATTTAATCATTCCAGATAGCCCAAAGGGATTGATTCAAAATCAAAACTGGAAGTGCGAATGATGGCCCTCATAAAATTCTTTCTTTTTTGTCATGTCTAAAGTGTACGAGCGCTTATGCCAAACACTGAAGAAAAGAAAAACGCACATAAGGTGCGAATAACTGCAGACGTCAATAACTTTGCTTTTAGCGGAATCTGCTTTCGCAACAAACACCTTGCTCAAGTCATGTGAACATTGCTGCTGTCAAGTAGTGTTGGATAGTGTGAAATATGCTTCAGTTAAACATATCAAAATTCCGCGCGATTTGCTCCACTAAGAAAAAAGGTATGAATGAAAAAGGGTAAGAGCATTTGGCCGAAGAATTTTGAGCGCTGCTGTACATCAGTCCCACAATCAGAGTGAAAAATCGTAACATACTTCGGTGGGGAGCTAAATATATTTTTAAACTTTCGAGGCAATCAAATACACAAAAATGTTCGGCTACCGGTAGCCATCCAAAGCTTCTGAACGTTATCAGTAGTTATCCTAACTTATTCTCCTCCTTCCCCTCGATAGGCTGCGAAATCATGAAATTCAATATACATTTATCCGAACATCATGAATCCAGTAGAGAGAATGCAAAGACTACATGTGTAGTGAAAGCTTTTTGAGAGAAACCATTCTTCCGAAAAGCAGAATTTCCCTAGTGGCAGCCAATTATATTGACGAGCCGGCTTAGCATTGATTTAGCACTAGTTATATTCTTTATAACAGGAACAAAGTCCCCACCAATAGAGTGGAACAACACGTTTTCTGTGGCTAACAATTGAATCTTAGAATAAAGAAGGAAGAGGAGAGATCTCAGCGCAGTGTAGCTTTCGCAATGCAGTACGCCCATGCATTTGGCTTTTATTCCGATTTATTAACGTTTGGAGGCGTATTAATCCTTTGACGACAACGCGCCTTTTTGCGTGTCTGGCGCGCGGGACAGATGCATTTCGAAGCTTTCCGCTTTCGCGGCTCGCCATTGTGCCACGCTGTCCCGCGGTTGATACATTTTTCTAGTGTAGACATTTTTTTGCTTTTTTTCAAGCGTTTTTTTCTTCATGATTCAGTATGAAATGGATGTAAATTCGATAATCATGAGTTCCCAACTTCATTAAGGTCTGGTTTTATGCATAATATAGCTTTGGAAGTCGAAATGGACCAGCCTGCAGTGGACGATTTAGAAGGTGGTTTTGAAAATTTATTGGTCGAACCCGACGAAAATAGAACTAAAGAATAAAACTTTTGAAGCTATGCTCTGAAGGTGTTACACATGGAGGGCTGAGATTTACTTAAGGTTTAGATTTACTTCGGTAGGCAGCCCGCAAGCAAGGACTCAGCAGCTATATTTGCTGCGGTCAGGACTAAAGGACGGACTCTTGAATCAAGGAATGCATCTCTATACCGATTACTGGTGAATGAATTACTGGAAGATAGCACCCACTTGTCCGACACTCAAAAAGGCGAAAAGGAATCAGGAATACTAATAAAAGTCGAGGCAGTTGAAAGGAGGGCAGGTTTTTGGAAAATTTGTTACAAACAACTTTTTTGGAAAATTTGTTACAAACAACTATTTCGAGCTTATGGAAGTGTTCACACCCCTACAAGACGAGTCAGTTCTAGGTGAAGTAGATGTGGAAAGTCATTTTCACCTGATTCTTTTCACAAAATGCACAAGAAGTGTGATTTCCAGGGAGAGAGTTGAATTTATTAGTTTTCAGAAATTAGCAATGTTCTTTCTAGTCCACTTTGTGTATAGCGTTATTTGGCGATTGCAAACCCATTAAATACAAAAAACTCCAAGTGAAACTAAAAATCGAGAAAAACAACTGGTGAGAAGGGTGCGGTCCACCATTGAGCTGCGTTGTCCCACGCGACCAAAAAACCCCGCGCTGGCGTCAAAGGGTTAAGCAGAGGCCAGACCAGAAAGGGTACTAAATGCACGCCAGTGCGCAGTTAGCAAGTTTAATAAACGATTTAGTAGGCGCACACAACAAAGCGGCAAACCCATTTCTGATGTAAACATCCCTTCCAATAGCATTTGATAGAGTTATAAGCATTTCGAGGCTAATCATCCGTTTCTGATATGCGCGCCATTATTAGACTTCAGATTCAGAAATCTTGCATATTCTGAATGTTTATCTGAAGGCCAGTTTACGACAGAAAACTACTTACGATGTCTTATGTGGTTTATTACTATCAGGTGCAAAACAAGCGGAGGGATCTGTCCACCTAAGGAGATTGGCGGATTAGCTGGAAGGATAATTAATCATAAAATTAATATGGGATTCGCATCGCACGACGATTGCTTCCATTGGATTTGAAATCCACAATCTTCTCCGGTGTTCCCAAATTGTGGGGGAGCTCCGTTCAGGACGCTTTTCATGGAAAAGCAAAACGACCGCATGCATCAAGGAGTTGAACCTTCATGCCATGCCCACCAGACCACCACCCTACCATCTGCACCACCGTCGCACATCTACGGCTTTGCTCGGCTCGGTGATTCGTTCGGTACAATGGTATAGCACAGACAGGCGCTGGTTCCGTAACTTTATTATAGGAATCGTTTGCAAATTTGGAACATGGATCTAAGATCAGCGTTCGAAACCACCTAGGACGGTATACGTTGTATCTTGAATGGCCACTGCGACCAGGTATCCTGCCCTTGTAAGAGCGGATCTAGGAGCAATAGCAATAATGATAACCGCAGCTACTCTTCTGTCGAATTACCCTTCGTAAATGCGTGTATCTGAAAACTCTCAGCATTATCATTTCCACAGCACGATGAATGACGCTGACTGCTGTAATGCCTACGTAGAGTCGAAGACCCTGAGGAGCAAATCAAGGCAGGAAGGACCGTAATAGCGAGAAGTGGACGCGGAGCTGGACAACTCTCCTTTCTCCACTAGTCCTTCGGTTTTCTTGAATGCTCCTCACGCCCCGAGTTCCTTTTTGCTCAGCTCTGATGTTAGATCGCCCGTCATGTTGACTTCTCGACGGTTAACGTAGACCATTCAGAGATGTTAGTTCCAGTTAGCTCAAAAGAAGCATCACGTATCCATCCGCTTTCCAACTACCGTCTTCTTTCGATTTAGTCGCAAGTCGATCCTTCCACAGACCTTGTCAATTCGACTACCATTCATTTCCCCCGCCTGATGATCGTTTTTACAAGCGGAATGTCGTCTGCAAAGTTGAAGCGATGTAACTACTTTAAATTAGACCTTCACTCCACCTCTTCCCATTCCGAAGATGTTCTCGAGAACGGCACAAAAAAGTTGTGCGTCTTCCCAAACCCCTGTCTTCACGTCGACAATGACTCCAAAATAAAACGGCGAAATTACGGTCGAGAATCTATTGTAGGGCTCACGAAGCGTCTTTATGTGCTAATGCTAGGGAAGGATCCCAAGTCGAAGGGACCATTTGAAATGAGACTCATACTGCTATACGTATTTCCTGGTGCTGCTTTCGAATCTGCTTCCCAAATCTGCCAAATGATTCTCTGAACGGTTTCAGGTTAGTACTTAACATAACAAGCACTTAAAACATGGAAGCAACAGCACTCACAGCGGTAATTTGGAGCAGTAGTAAGCGTGACGCTTTACATGCGTGAAGCCAAAACGTGAGGACAGAACGGAGTTTGTGAGCTTCGCGGTTTTTGCATTTTGCGAGACGTTTTCCTAAGGAACCGGAAAACCTTTGTATGCTAATTTAACCATCTTCAGCGCCCTTTGTGGAACCTAAGGTGATTCGGCTCTTACCTATACCGTGCAGCCAGGGAGATTCAGTTCTTACCCGAACCGTACAATATCGCTACTAACAAGGGAAGTATCCCAAGTCGAAGTGGCCATTTGAAAAGGAACCTATACTGCTAGGCGTATTTTTTGAAGCTGATTTCAAATCTGCATTCA